TGTCAAAAGCCTTACTGAAATCAAGATATGCTATGTCTACTGCATTCATCTACCAAGCTGGCAATTTTATCAAAGAAAGAGATCAGATTACTCTGGCATGACTTGTTTTTGAGAAATCCATGTTGACTTTTAGTGATTATGGCATTCCCTTCTAAATGTTCACAGACTCTCTGTTTAATGAACTGTTCTAGAATATTGATGTCAGACTAACTGGGCGATAGTTGTTGGGATCCTCTTTTTTCCCCTTTTTGAAGATGGGGACAGTGTTTGTCCGCCTCCAGTCTGCTGATGTTTCTTATAGGGCTGGCTGTTGTTGTTGTGTGCCTTCAAATTGACTTATCATGGTGACGCTAAGGCAAACCTACCATGGGGTTTTCTTGACATGGCCATCCTCTATGAGTCTAAGAGAGAGAGTGTGATTTGCCCAAGGTCACCCCTTATTGTAAAGAATGTCCTGTATTTTAGGACAGGAAAGCTTCTTCTACAATTGCTATTTCATGTAGACTGAACTAGATGCCAAAACAAGAGGCTCCTGTCTCGAGTACAGATTTCTCGTCAGGACTATAAAATGTAGTGGCACTCCCATGTCTTTGAGAACATTTCATACTAGAGCATTAATAGAAGCAATTAAACCAGATTATAAAGCTAAAGCACTAAACATAAAAACTATAAAAATACATAGAAAGACTATAGTTGTAATTGTAGGCCTTCAAGTCTTTTCTAAGGCAACCCTTTCACACGGGTTTGCCACCCTGGATCCCATCTTGGGAGAAAAGTGGGTTATAAGAACAATGAATAAATATAAAAAGATACATGGGGGGGGGCAGGATCTGTTCGAGGGGAGCTGCCTGTGCCTTTCTCCGGGGATGAGAGAGTGTGACTTGCCCATAGTCACCCAGTGGGTTTCTGTGGCTGAGCAGAACTCAGACTGCTGCCACAGTGCAGAATTAATGCAGCTTGGCATCGTTTTATCTGTCCTTGCCCTGTCCTATGGAATTCTGGGATTTATAGTTTGCTGTGGCACCAGAGCTCTCTGACAGAGAAGGCTAAATAGTTCACAATACTACAAATCCTAGAATTTCATAGCATTGGGCCATGGCAGTTAAAGGGGTGTCAAGCTTCATTAATTTTGCAGTGTAGATGCAGCCTGAAATCGCAACAAGGGACGCCAAATGGAAAGAAAATAGGGTTGAGAGGCAGCTGTGCTTCCAAAACACTTACAGGCATGTAGGGCAAATGCTAGAGTCTACCTGTAATAAAGGATAGATTTGTTCTAATCCAGACTTTGTCCAAAACACACTGCAGAAATAATGTAGTTTGAGACCGCTTTAACTGCCCTGGCTCAATGCTAGGGAATTCTGGGAACTGTGGTTTTGTGAGTCATTTAGCTTTCTCTGTCAGAGAGCTCTGGTGCCACAATAAAACTGCAATTCCCGGGATTCCATAGCATTGAGCCAGGGCAGTTAAAGTGGTCTCAGACTGGATTATTTCTGCAGTATGTTTTGGACGTTTATTGTGCATTTGGAAAAGTTGGTGCTGGACTATAACAGCTATGCCAAAATAAGTCTTTTTGTCTTCAGATGCCATTATACTGTGTTTTGTCTGGAAAGAGATTGTAGTTCAGTAGTTGTCAAAAGGTACCAAGTTCAGTCCCTGTTATTTCCAGCTTTTTCTTTTCTTTTTAAGGATCAGATAACAGAAAAGACTTTTCTGCTTGCCCACTGCTGACAATCAGAGCAGTGAATACAGAGCTCAATAATCTATCCAGATGTAAAACATCTGCCAGTCTTCTTATGTTTGTGATGAACTGATACAACTATAAAACTTGTTAGACCTACAGGATGCTAGAATTCAAACATAAAAAATGGGGGGGGGGGTCTTCCTGATGTAAAAGATACACACAGAGAACAGTTGTATAAAAACTATTTTCATATATCACATTTTAATACAAAATTAGGGAAATTTTGGCAAGTGCATTTTCTTACGGAGGGGTAACAATCTGCATCTGTCATAATTCCTTTCACTGCACAACAGTTGAGTACAGACCACCTTTTTTATTTTCCCACCACACCTGTATCTAGTAATGTGTAGTATGCAAAGTACAGGGCTAGAGATTCCACTCAGCCAGTTCGATACCATGCCATTTGTATTTTTAAAAAATTACTTTTCCAAGCTGTGAGTTCTTCGTTTTTCTTTGTAAAACACACGACAGACGGACAAACAGTATTTCCTACTGGTGCAGAATTAGCCACTGATCTGTCTTAGTACTCTTTCACATTCTTTAGTAATCACCTGTTTCTACTTTTTCATTGGACAGAGGTTTATTATCCAATAGTAACTGCTGTCATACTGTGGAATTCCTTCCTGTGGAGTTTTCTTAGTAAATTTCTTCAGAGCGGGTTTTCCGTGGCCATCCTCTGAGGCTGAGAGAGTGTGATTTGCCAAAGGTCACCCAGTGGGCTTACATTGCTGAACCAGGATTCGAACCTTGGTCTCCAGATTCTTAGTCCAACACCTAAACCACTATACCATACTGGCTCCCACTATGTATGGTATTTTAGGTTTTCCTTATAGAGAAGATGAAAGTTCTTCTTGTTTGACTTCAAGTTTTTTCTGGCCTATGGCCACCCTAAGACAACATATTATTGGGCTTTCTTGGCAAGATTTGTTCAGAGGGGCTTTGCCATTGTCTACCTCTCATTTGGATTTCTGTAATGCGCTCTACATGGGGCTACCTCTGTACCACGTTCGGAAGCTTCAATTGGTTCAAAATGCGGCAGCCAGATTGGTCACTGGTACATCTAGGTTGGACCATATAACACCTGTATTAAAATCTCTTCATTGGCTGCTGATCAGCTTCCAGGCACAGTACAAAGTGTTGGTTATTACCTTTGAAGCCCTACATGGCTTGGGACTGAGTTACTTGAAGGAACGCCTCTCCCCACATAATCCGCCCCTCACTCTCAGAATATCTGGGAAGAATTTATTAGACCACCGTAAAACCTGATGATCTTAAGGGATATGGTACAACAGGTGCAACTGCTGAACAGCCTTGGAGTTTTTTTGCTGGCTCAAGGCTTTAATGACCCAGCTGAATATTTTTACTGGCAGTGGCGGTGGCGGTGGGACCGTCCGCGGACTGGTTCAAAGGCCTCGGCGGGCCGGGTTTGGCTGGCCTTTACAGACTGCTAGAAATAATGCAGCTTGAGTCCAGTTTAACTGCCCTGGCTGAGTGTTAGGGAATCATGGGAACTGTAGTTTATTGTTGCACTAGAGCTCTCTGACATAGAAGGCTTAATGTCTCAGAAAAAAACTACAGATCCCATGATTCCCTAGCACTGAGCCAGGTCAGTTAAAGTGGACTCAAGCTGCACTATTTCTGGCAGTCTGTAAAGGTCCTAAGTATTATTACAGCCTGCACTTGAAACCTGTGAGCCAATGCATCTGTTTGATCCGTTCTGGTTGCAACTGTTCACTGTGCTTCTGAAGCTGAGTTTGTGCATGTTTTTCCTGCAGGAACACACACAGTGTGGCATAATGATTTGAGTGCTAGACTGCAGATCTGGAGACTGGGATTAGATTCCAGTTCCACAATGAACCCCACTGTGTTCATTGGGCAAGTCATACTCTCTCAGCCTGAGAGGAAGGCAAAGGCAAACCAAGGGCTAACAAATCTTGCCAAGAAAACCCCATGATAGGTTCACTTTACGATTGCCATAAGTCAGAAACAACTTGAAGGAACACAAGAACATACAATAATATGAACAAATGCTTACAACAGGACAGTGATGCAGACAGTTCTATTATCTGACTGAAGCTAAACAAAATGGAAAAGGAACAGGAAGTACAAGCCTGTTTAGCTTCGTGTTCTGCCATGGTGCCAGCTTCTTTTAAAACATTTTCCCTATAGCCTGGTTGATATGCCTGCATTAAGTAGTATTATTACTATTGCTATTATTACTATTGTATCTGAGGAAGCGCCAACCACCATAAGTTTAATTTTACTCCTCCCAGTTGGCCTAATAACCACAATGTATTATTTGCATTTTTTTATAGTGAACATAGTTATCCCTGTATACTTTCAAACTGATTACTTTCTTTCCTTCTTTGTCAGTTTGAAGGATGATGACAGTGGAGATCATGAGCAGAATGAAGAGAACAGCACACAGAAAGATGGTGAGAAGGAAAAAAACGATAGAGACAAACCCCAAAGTAGCATCAAGAGGAAGGTATGTCCTTGCCTCTTCACTAGACTGGAGTATCTAGTGGAGGACTGTGACAGGGAGTTTATAGCTTGTAGCTCCAGAGCCAAGAAAATACTTGTGAATAACTCGTCCTCAGACCCATCTGACCTCTATTCCATTTGGCTCCTTGTTAAAGAAAACAATGCAAACTCTTCCAGTGTGTTGATTTTGAAAGCAGAATTGGTTACACAGGTAATACACATCAATACTTCGTTAGCACATTTCACCAGAAGGGTTGAAGAAGGGACATGAAGACCTGTCCTATAGAAGCCAATTCCTAATACTACAGGCTCATTCACACTACAGAATTATAGCACTATTATTCCAGTCATGGAATCATAGAATCATAGAATCATAGAGTTGGAAGAGACCCCAA